GGACCATGGTGGGGTTCATGTCCCAAACCCAAGGACGGGAATGGCTGCACCATGCAGCTCTCGGCGGCGACCCCAGTGTTTGTAATAGCAGCGGGGCCCAAAGCAGCGTTGTTTTCTTCCCCCCTCCATTCCCTCCAGCTAACAGTGCGGGTGTTTCTCCCCCCGCAGGCCCTGGTGCAGTGCACGATGGCAACAGCGGTGCATGGCGGCGAGGCAGCTGTGCCTGGCTGCTGGCCCTGCCGCTCGCCCAGCTCGCCCGCCAGTTCTGAGCCCCGAGGCGGCCACGACCACCACAGCAGAAAGGAGAGGAAGAAGATGTATTCACTGTTTCTGAAAATAATCATAAGAATTGAGAGAGTTGTCCGGCCAGGCCTTCTGGGGGAGGGGGAGAGAGGAAAAACATGCAAAAAAAAAAAAAAAAAAAAAAAAAAAAATTAATAATAATAATAATAATAATGATAATAATAATTCAAAGGGAATTTGGAAAGGAGGGAGAGAAAAAAAAAAAAAAATTATCCAAGGCTTCCTGCTGAAGACGCAACGCGACTGAGTCTTTTTCTTTCCTCTGGTTATTTTTTCGCCTGCCCCTTTTTCTGCCCCGTTTCGTCGTTCTCTGCTGTGGGTCAGTGTGGGGATGGGGCAGCCCTGGTCCCCCCACCATCCCCGCTCACCCGGAGCCCCTCCGTCCGTATGCGCAGGTTTTTTTCTTCGCCGAGATTTCCCCCGTCTTCTCATGGACTGTGCCGCCATTTGTGTTCCGAAATATATATATATATATCCACATATACATATATATATATATGTATAGATATATAGATCTTCAACAGTTACACCACACCGCCACGAACGGAAAGGGAGGAAGGAGAGCAGCGCCGAGTTCATCGTACGCCACGCGGACATCGTGAATGATAAGGGTTCATTTTATTAATTCTATTTTCTGATACGAGCCTAGAACTCTTAGTTCCTAAAAAACCAAGATGCAAAAAAAAAAAAAAAAAAAAAAGAAAGAAAGAAAGAATGAAAACCAGGAACGAGAGAGCAAGCGGAGAGAAGTGTGTTTCCGAGGAGGATGGTGCTGGCTTGTCCCTGGGCGAGGAGCAGGAGCCCTGTGCTGAGACCCCTCACCTGGCCTGGACCACGGCCATACAAACAGTTCCTCCGTGCATCGAGGCGAAGGGAGACGCTGAATCTTTTTACCAGATATATATATACAGTATATATAAATATACATATATATATATATATATAATTTTTTTTTTTTGTTAGCGTTCCAGCCACAGTTCCCAGCAGGGTCCTTCCGCTGCCATTACTGCATGCTGTATATGGAGTTAGGTGTGTATTGGTCCTCCGTGAGATGAGGAGAGGTTCTCGCTCCGCACGTGCCCAGGTCCCATCACCTTTCCACCCTCGGGTGTCTGGGGACAAGGGGACACAGGTGCTGCATGGGGTCCCTCTCCGTCACCCTGTGCTGCACACCCTTGGTGGTGGAATAAAGCGAACCGAGGGATGGACGTAGATATAGATCTATATAGCTCAGTTTCATTTATATATATATATATATATATGTATATGTGTGTGGGTGTGCGTGCGTGTGTGTGTATATATATATATATATATATAAAAAGAAGGCGAAGCGATCGGCACCCGCCGCTGAGCCACCGGCTGAAATTTGAGGGGGGAGGGTGGGCACCTCAACGACTCGCTTTATTTTTCACTGGTGGGGGTCTCTCCTGCAGTTTCTTTTCCTCCTTTGGTTTCCCTTCCTTCTCCGCGGCCGACAGCGAGGCGGGGGCACGGCGGGCGGGCGGCGAGGGGGCTCTCTCTGCCTCTATCCATTAAAACGATTGTTCCATGTGGCCGCTCCGTCTGCTTGTGGTGCTCATTGCCCCCGCCGCGGGCGCTGGGCGATGGGGAGGGGTGCTGGGATGGAGGGAGGGAGGGAGCAGTGATGATGAAATGGATGGAGCAGCAGGAGGAGGTGAGCGCCGAGCCCAGATGTGATGCGGCACAAGGTGAGGCTTCGGTGAGTACATGGAGGGCCGGGGTGAGCTGACTGGTGTTGGAGGTGATGCGGTGGGGCCGCGCAGGGCACAAGTGAGTTTCTGGGTGTTGGTGAAACCTTGCTGTTGGTGCGCTGGCGTTGGTCTCTGTTGGTGCGTGGAGGGGTGTTGTTGATTTTCAGGAGGGTCTTTTGGCGCATCGAGTCTTCAGCTTTCACTGTAGCCACCGGCTTCTCAAGGCGCGTGAGCTCCACCTGGCACATGGCGTGTTGTGTGAGGATCAGAGCTGGTCTGTAACGATTGCAGGGCTTTTAATATTTTATTTTTTTTTCCTCCTCTGAGTTTGTGCAGCCCGAGAAGTAGGCAGGGAGAAGGGAGAGAGAGAGCAGAGAGGATAGCGAGGTGTTGTGAAATGACGGCGCAGCATCTCCCGGCCCCGGGCAGCATGTGGGGACCTGAGGTTGGAGCATCCCTCGAGGACGGGGAGAAAAGGTAGGGAACAGAGACCCCCACCCCTGTGCACACAGTGCCCAATGCACTTTTGGGCTGATTGTGGCCAGCAGCATTCGCAAAATGTTCTGCTGTTCCCATCCTTCAGGGAACCCTGCCCTAAGCGAGGGTCCCTTGCTGTCACTGTGGGCACCAGTGCCCCATCACTGACAGTGCAGTGGATGCAAGGCCCTGTTTGGAAAAAGGGGAAAATGTCCAAAGGGACTTGCTGTGAGCCCCAGGGTTGCTTGTGTCTTTTCCCTTGGTGGCAAATACTGTCCCTGTGGGAATGGAGGGGCCCCCAGTACGTGGGCTTTATCCCAAAGTTACCCTGTTGGCAGGGTTGCAAAGGCATCCCACTACCATGCATTTCCCCATGGGCTTGTGGCATTTAATTGCTGTTCCAGGGCAGGATGGCTGGATGCATGCAGCTTTCTGCATCCTGGAGTCAGGATGGCAGAGAAAGAGGGGATCAGTGCCAACCACAGTGCTAGAGCCACAGTGATGGCTTTGTAGGAACTGCTGTGGCCACATTTGTTGTGCCACGGCCACAAATGTGTGTCTGTGCTTCTCCTGGGGGAGGAGATGGAGCAGTGCATGGCTGTTGGCTTTCAGGAAAAGAAAGTTGGCTGTGGCAAGGCAAGCCTGGCAGGCAAGGGAGGAACCCTGCCCACCTCCAAAGGATGCATCTGGGGTTAATGGGGTTCCTCCCTTTATTTTTGAAATTCTGACATTTTCAGTGCTGTAGGCAGGAGGTCAGAGGGCACAGTGCCAGGGTTTGAGCATTGCAGAATTAGTTGGAGAGAGAGACAGAGAGATGCTGGTTTATGGGTGTGTTTCTGTATTTATTTAGATACATATTTATTTGTGTCTCTCAGTGAAGGGAGATGAATGTCATGGCCTGAAAGATGCCCTCGCTCCCTCTGGATGTAGCTGTGCTCCAGGTGTTAGTGATGCTTTCCTGTATGTTGTGAAAGGAGCCCACTTGTGCTTGTGTTGTTCAGGACAGGGTTTATTGCTTGTGCCACAGGTTTCCCAGTGTGTTAGCTGTGATTCTTGCCTTGCAGGAAGTGATGATGCGGAGCACGAAGGGAAGCCCTCTGGTCTGGGGCCACAGCAGAGAAGGGAGCATGTCAGGCTGTCTCTCATTGTTCTTCTTGGTTGTGACACAGCAAAATTGCACTCAGGAGAGGCCAAAAGTGTCCAAAAAAGGGAGGAGCAAGGGCTCGTTCCCTTCTGGATGGCTCTTCCTTCTTAACGCTGCATCCCAATGACTGGTGCTTGTCATCCTTTTACCAACCACACCAAGAAGTCCAAGAGTTTTGCATGGGGGATGGCTACAACCTGATTTAGTTTTGCAGGTTGTACGTGCAGCTGTTGTTTTTCCCTAAGAGGCATGTAAAAGGCTGCTGGTAGGTGGACGGAGAGCAAAGGGACAGTGTCACCATTGTATCACCCGTAGAGATGTGCACAGACAAGAGGGATGGCCCAGCAGGGTGATTTCCACCTCCATGGCCACGATCGAGGTGAGCTGTTTGGAGTCTTGGTGCTGCCCTAGCCCCAATCCATTTGGATGTGCTGGGGGCAGGTGTGCTCCTCCCATCCCAGACCCCTCTCCCAGTTTGTTTAGGGAAGCACTTACCTTTCTTTCCAGTGCGCACAGCCAAGGTGTCCCTGACAGAGCCATATGCTCAGGCAGTTGCAGGCTGTGGGAGGCTGTCACCATGAGGAGCAGCTGGCTGCAGGGCTCAGCAATACGCTCTGAGGACACTGCTTTCCAGCTTCATGTCAGGAAAGGCAAAGGGAGGTGCAGAGTAAGCAATCAATCCCCTTATGGGTCAGGCGTTGCCCCAGAGCATCTTGCTGCTCTTGTGCTCCCAGCAGCCTTCCTACCCTCTACCACAGCTCTGAGATATCAGCTTTGGGGTTTCTGCAGGAAAACAGGGCCCCTCACTGAAGAGCATCCATCAGTGGGATGGGAAAATGGTCCCAAGAGGCACAGGTCCCTTCCCATAGTCTTCATCCGTTGATGAAGGCATACTTTTGTGTCTTGTGGAGTCACGTCTTGATAGGCGCAAAGCACTGTTAGGAGCATTTCCTCTGCAGTGGCATTCCTTGCACAGAAGTAGGTTTTTTGGAGCAAACGTTGTTAAGAGACGATGACACGAGACGACACAGCCACCAAAAGGAAGAATCCAGTGGTGCTTCTGCTGAAGGTAGGCGAGTGAACAGAGCACAGCCGGTCCTTCCCCTGCAGGGCTCCTGAAATAGGTATGTGCTTGTCTGTGCTGCACGACCCATCAGCAGAGGACAGACGTGGGGATAGGGATGAGGGAAGAGTCAAATAGCAGCGAGGCACAGAGCAAGGAGCCTGGTTGGGAACCAGACAAGCCGTGGGGCTGGAAGCAGTGCCAGTGCAAGGGCAGCCAGGAGCTGAATGCGGCTGCCATGGAGCACGGTGCACAGGAGCCCCGCGCTCCCCATGCGCTCCGTGAAGCAATGCCCCGAGGGTACAAAGTTCGTCAAACTTTATTGATACACTGCACAATCACAACCATCTCTTATTCTTGCCGAATTAGAAAAGGTTACAACTACAATGTAACATGCACAAATCTCAGGTAGTATAGCCACCCTTGGAATACAATGATCGACGGAAACTCGGAGACCGCGCGCCGGCAAGGCGAGCACGCGGGGAGTGGCGATGGCACGAGGCTCTGCCACCCACCCACACGGCAGAGCCGCGGCCTCGGACAGCCAACACGTTCCTCACAACTGCACGTTACATGGCACGAGAAAGTCGAACGCCGTCCCGACGGAGGAGGACAAGGAAGCCAGCCCAAACCGACCCGGGGAGGGAGAAGAACGGGGAGCGCGGGGCGGCCCCGAGGCTGTCGTGTGTGACCTCGGGGCATCTGGTAGTCGTCATGTCTTGTCTCTGCAATGCCACGGCCTTTGGCCTCGTGTCAGGGACTGGTTCAGTGTTTCTTCTGCAGGGAGAGAGAAATAGGACACCGGAATAGTGTGCCAAGCAAGGGTTGTGTGCCAGCTGGGGGGTGTTGGAGGGGGGCAGGGAGGTGGCACTGGGGTGACACTGCCGAGCGTCTCCCATGCCCCAGGAATGCATCTGAAAGCCCCAGAAACAAAGATGAGGGGGCCACCTGCTGACACCATCCTTTGCCAAGCGTGGTTGTGAGCATTGCAGGGCACTCAGCCCATCGGGGTGTCCCACGCAGTTTTTGAGAGCTGGGAGATGGAGCTGCCAGGTAGGACTCAGGGGGGTTATGTCTATTTCCTTGCAGTTGATGCGTCACTGCTGTGGTGGGATCACATTTGCATGCTTCTGCCTTGCTTCTGGGTGGAGAGGGGCCGTTTGTTCTGTGGATCAACGAGTTGGGATGGGGGGCTCAGAGCAAGAGCGTGGGGAAGGATGTGTGGGCCACCGTGCCCCCCTGCGATGGTGCCACTCGCCTCCACAGAGATGCACACAGATGGGATCAGGCTGCTGCTTGTGACTCCTTCCCGGGATGCTGGTGGGAATGCAGGACCAGCTCACTGCTCACCGTGCCACATCCCTGCCCATCAGGTAAGCTGGTGTGCCTGGTCATTGCTGGAGCAGTGTCTTCAGGCTTTGTGGGTTTTGTCACTGTCGGTGTCCCATGTGTGGGGTCAGGAGCATCCCTGCAGATTTTGCAGCTGCTGCTTCTTTTGTAGCAGCGTTGTAAGTGTGCTTGTTTGTGCAACGCCCAGGAGGCCCAGAAGAGACGAGGGATGAGGCGAGGGCACCGCCGCAATGAGGACAGGGCGGTGGCACATTGCAGGGTCTGTGCCAGGGTTTTCTTTCTTTTCTGTAGGATGGAAAACAGGGCAGCAGCAGAGTTTGTATGGGGAAAGATACACAGCCTCAGCTCTCAAGTCATCTTGCTTTTCGAGGGAGAAAGAAGGGAAGGGCAGGGAGACAGTTCCCCAGGGTAAGAAGGTCATGGTAAGGGGAGACATTGTGTGCTTCCTTGGTGTGCTACCATCATGTTTTGTCCCTTTGTTGCTGGCACTTTGTCCAGTGCTGTGCAGGACTTCTCTGGAGCTGAGTAGGAGGTTCTGTCCCTGGAGTACAAACCCAAAGCTTCCCATCCTTGCCCCAGAGCATAAGGATTGAGGTTACCCCCCATGCAAGGAGCATTGCAGCACTGTGGGGCCATGGGCTGAGAACCAACACAGCCCCATTGAGGTGACCATTGCGGGGCAGCTAGAGGAAGCAAAGAGAAGGTTCTGACTGCACATGTTCTCGTGTCAGTGGAGCCTCTCAGCAAGCAACAAGCTGGAGGCACCAGGGCATCCTTGTTGTGTAGGTGTAGCAAACTGACGGCCATTATTTTTCCAGTGGAGCCTGAGCTGTCTCCAAATGGTCAAACACCACTGCTGGGACAGGCGGAGGTATTTGCCTGAATAGTGTAGGAAGAGCCCTTAGGGAGACCTGAAGCACCCATAAGATGGAACTCTGTGGTCCCACACTTCCTGGCACACAGGGGTGGCAGCAGGCGTGTTGGAGCTGCAGCTGGGGCTCTGTTTGCTGCCTGGTGCTTGCCTGTGTTGGTTAGTGCCTCCTCCCAGTGCCAGTGCTGCAGTGCCTTAGCTGTCAGATTGAGCAAGGAGCTGGAAATTCAGTGAGCATCTCAAGTGCCCCTGGTCCAGAGGAGCTTCCTCTGGGCAGGGACACATCCTTGGGCACAGGGCAGAGGGGCTGCAGTGCAGAAGGGAAGCAGCGGGGGATGGAGAAGCGAGGAGATGGTCTGGGAGGAGCTTTGGTGGTGAGAGATCACATTCAGGACGGAGACGGTGCAAGGCAGACGCAGGGCTCCAACTTCAGGGTCTGTTTGGGCATAGGTGTCTCAATGTGACGACGAGATGGACGTCCCCAGCGACTGCTCCGGGTGGCCCCCACCCACCACACCCGTGTCCAACATGGTGTCACCAAGACGCCTGCCAGGTGTCAGCGGGGAGCCCCATCCACGCTGTACCCCATCCGTGGGGCACATCGCCCGCAGCCGGCTCGATGCAAGGAGGGACAAGGCGGCAGACAAGGCTCGGTGCAGCATTGCCCTTCGATGGGCAGGCGACGGTGGCGGGTGACAGTCTGGTGGCACGTGGTGGGGTCTGTACAGCGTAACTGGCGGCGAGAATGATCCCGGCAGGTGGGAGACGTGGCCGTCCTCGGCCCTTTGGCGCCGCTCCCCGTCCTCCGGCGTTGTGCCCGTCTGACGGAGAGGAGTCCCCGGGCGGCCGTCCCGGGACCCTCCACTCCCTTATCAAAAGTCGAGGAGGAGGCGAGCGAGGAGGGTGGCCCAGAGGCAGAGGCCAGCGGCCGCCCGGGAGGCTGCGTTGCCACTGTCGTGCACCGCTCCGGGCCCTGCACCAGGGGGAGAAGAGGAAGAAGAGGGACAGCGTTCAAGGCAGTGATGAGAAGATGAGAGCATGCTGTCATGCAAACAGAAGCCCTCCCCCTGTTGTCCCATGGCATTCCCCTCTTCCCCCCTTGGCAGGTTGGCAGCAGTGGGTCAAGTCCCCAGTTTGGGGACGCTGGCGACATTTGGGGCACCTACCATACAGGATGATGCTGGCATTGGTGTTGCCCAACTTGTTTGTGGCCACACATGTGTAGTTGCCATAGTCCTTCTCGGAGACATTGAAGAAGGTCAGCGTCGAGAGGCGGCCCTTGCTCTCGATCCGCACGCCCTCCAGCCCGTTTGCTAACCTGCACAGGGGGTCATAGATGGTGCTGCTCAAAGCCTTACATGGGTTAATATAAAACAGCCCCAGGCACCCCTCCCTGCCCTCCACAGCCTTATGAGGTCCACCCTTCACCCCGCTGTGCCACCCAGCAGCACCTCACTCCATCACCAGTCCCATCTCCCTCCATGGGTTGTCCCTGGGATACCCACACTACCCATGGAGAGAAAGACCTGAAAATGCCCATGAGGTCTGGGATCCTCCATAGCAGGAAGAGCCTGGCCTCTCTCCAAGCTGATCCCTTGGCTGCCTCCATCCCACCCTGCATCCTCCATGCATCCGCACCTGGTGTCCTCCTTGAACCACTGAAACTCTGCCACGGGGACGGCCGAGGCCTCGCACTGCAGGATGCCCTTCTGGCCCACTGAGGCGCCTGTGTTCTTGGCATTGGAGATGTACGGCGGGTCTGTGGGGATGCCATGCCATGTCACGTCCCTAGGATGGACCACGTGCCTGCCCCACCACTACATCCCCACCAGGGATCCCATTCCATGCACTTACAGTTGACAGTGACTTTGACTTTCCGGACATCTGGGACGGCCACATCATTGACAGCACTGCACTCGTACTCGCCCGACTGCTCCCGTGTGATGCCTGTGATCTCCAGGTACTCGTCCTCGCTCACAAAGCCTTGCCCTGTGATAAAATGGGGCACCATCACCAACAGCTCCCAGCTCCAAAACCAACCTACACATAAATCCCCGCACACCCCTGCCATCCTCCTCCATCCCTTTGCCAAGCTGGCATCTCCTGCAGCCAGTGCTCAGCACAGGCAGGTCCCCAAGCCTTCTCTCACCTTTCCCAGAGAGATGCCGCCATGTGACAGTGGGCTCTGGCCTCCCAAAGGCCAAGCACATGAGGGTCACACTGCTGCCTTCATTCACGGTGATGTCTGATGAGATGTTGACAATCTGAGGGGGGACTGCAGGACACAACAACAAAGGGACCGTCAGCACACAGGCTCATGGAGACCTACCAACATTCCCAGCCCTTTCCCCACCACCAGCCCAGCTCTGATGTCACTTAGACCTGCACAAAGCATGGCCCCATTGACCACATGGCAACCTAGAAAACCTGGACCAACCCCCACAACCTTTCAGAACAGAAATTCCTCCTGGCAACCCCCATACAGGCTCTTCAAGATACCAGTCTGCCATACTTCCCCTCCAGCCACCAACCCTTCACCTGGAAAATGCCACCTGTCACTGGTGTGGAAGAGTCTGCACACCCCTTAACACCCACCCTGCCGCTTCAGGCAACCCATGATAACCAACTCATTATGACTGCCAACAGCTCTCATATCTTAGCATTTTTATTAAAGCTTTCTAAATTACTGATTGTCTGCTCCATTCAGCGCTGGCCATTGTGATTTATATTAGTCTATCCCCCGATACTCCATCTAATAAATAACTTGGCAATCTCCAAGCCCATAAATCCCCATCCCAGCAAAAAGCAATTAAAGCCCGTTTGCTGACGCCATTCACCGGTGCTCCAGGCCTTGGGGCTGGTGAATGCCTCTCCCCAGGAGCTGATCCAGCAATGCAAAGGGGCTCTCTCTCAACCAAATCCCAGGCTGGCTATGCCATGTTCAATGCCCGTGAGCCCTCCGTGGCCATGGCAGATGTGAGATCTCAGCCCCACAGTGCCCAGCAATGGGCATGAGTGCAAATGGATCTTGGTAGATCCCTCTGCTCCATCCTCCCTATCGGGTTCCGGATAGAAAACAAAGATCAAGAATCACAAAACCATAGAATTGTTCAGGTTGCAGAAGACCTTCCAGATCATCAAGTCCAATCTCAGCCTAACCATACTACCTAAAGGACGGGGCATTCCAGGGGAGGGGTAGTTGAGAGGGGCACAGAGACTATGGCAACCTCTACTGGGGAACTCTGCCTAAGCTGTGAATGCAAGAAGCCTCCAAAAGGCACACATAAGCCCATCCAGCCAAGTGATGCTCTCAGGCATATTTCACTCCCCATGGAGACAATGGCAGCGCCACGTCTCCAACAACGCCACGAGACACAGCCCCTCTACATAAAGCATCAACTGCATTTGGAGCTCTTCACCCTTCCACCATCCACCAGCAACACCGCCTGCTCCAGTCCTGCTGCTGCTCAGCTACTGGCAGTTCCTGCGCCTTGGCAGGGGTTCAAATTCAGCCTGAGAACACCTTTTGCTCCCGGGGGGGCTCACAAAGGCTGGGCTTCCCCATGCATGCACTCGCAGCTCGCTCCCCAGCACAGCCCGATGGCGAGGGCGCTGCTGAGCCTCCGCCGCCTGATGGGCCCTGCGAGGCTGTAAATTTCCCAGCAACTTGACACTTTAATATAGAAGTACAGTCTGTTATAGCAGAGGGAGATTGTCTGAGTCCTTCAGGGGAGACTGGCAATCCAAAAATGAAAAGTGTGCGGCAGCAACCGGTGAAAAATGTAGTTAGTGCTGGGAGTGCGAGCGGCACGCTGCCATGGTTTGTCCCCAGCTGCTGCTCAGAGCAGCCCTGTGTGATCAGAGCTCCTACTGCTCCTCGCAGCACCCAGGGACAACGTTCTTTGTAAAGCTGCTTGCACGACACGGGAACTGCAGAGCAACCAGGGCATGGAGCAGAGCTGCGCTGTGCCGTTCGCCTCTGTGTGCACACACGGTCTTACACTTATGCATCGCAATGTTGTTCCAACTCATCTGTGCACCCCAGCGTAAGGCAGGCCACAGACAGACACCCAGACTATGTGGGGCCGGGAAGTGTGACCACATGGCCCCTTGCAGCACGCTGATCCCATGGGATGCACAGGGCTGGGTGTCCCTGAGAGCACGGGGACATCGGCAGCATCGATACCCAACCGTGATGGCAATCGTTGCCTATGAGGTTACATGGACTGGCAGGAGGACATCCGAGGGACCTGATTGCATTTCTATAGATCCCACCAGCTGCTGGCTGCAGCCTCAAGGGCAGGCTGCCATTGCCTTTGCTTTTAGCCACAAGAAGGGCGGGAGGGAGCTGGGACTGCACAGGGACACAGGAGACAGCAAACAGGACCTAAGAGCATGGTAACAGGGAGCAAACACGACAGTGGTCTAACAGTGACCTGCAGGGCCACTCCATCATTACTTGCATGATGCACCCGCACAACCACACAGCAGGAGATCACCACGAAGGCAAAAAGCTCTCCTGTCCTCCCAGCACCTACGCAGATCAGTGGGACTGACAACACTGCTGTGGGTACTATCATTGCTATTCATTTACCTGCTGACAGCAAGCTATTTTTTGGCTATCTTTGATTTTTTGCAATAGCCACTGAGGGCCCTCTCCTTGTCCTACATCCCGTATGCAGCTAATATCCAGCTTTATGACACTCCTGTCACTAAATATAGAACATAATAAACGATCCCAGGGCAAACCTGTTAGCAGTCAGAGAAGCAGCAAAACCGGGGCCGGCGTTCAGGCAGGCACATGGAGTGCCACCTCCTGACACATGAAATGCACTTTACTGCAGCTCACCTCGCCTTGCCTCGTTAGCCCAAACGTACCTCACAACACACCAATAATAAGATACTCAAGGGAAAAGGGGTGAGATCATAGAATGGAAAAGACCATTAAGATCATCAAGTCAACCCATCACCACCATGCCCACTAAACCAGCTCCCTCAGTTCATTGAGAGGCACAGGTGCTGCCCAAAACTGGGGCATAGATGCTGCCCAAACTACACTGCCATTGGTACAAGACACAGCTTCCCAGAGAGAGCCACCAAAGCACAGCTCTGGCTCCCACCACACCGAGGTCACACCAATGTGGATGCCAGCACGTGGCGTGCTCGTGTGGCAGTGCGAGCCCTGGGGAGCTATAGAGGTAAAGCAAACCAGCATCACAGGAACTCTATCCCCTTATTAACAGTCTTGTTTTCTATTTAAAAGACCACTACTAAGAGCACATTGGATGTGCAGCAAATCCCGTGCTCTCACCAGAGCAGTGCGTGGCCCGCGGAGCATTGCCTCCATCCCGTGTAATATTAATCAGGGGGAAGTTAATGCATAACGTTCGCCAGGCCAAAAAAATACATTTGGGCTGTAATTTCTTGTTTGTTCGGAAAGCGGGCGAGAGAAATTGAATGTGAAAGTGATGCCACTAAATTCAATAACAATAAGCCCGTGATTTATCTCCTTCCTTTACCACTCAAGACCCGCACTGCCCGACGCGCCGATTAATGTTTTACACTGGGTACAGGAGACGGCCGCACAGCGGTTCCTGCTGATGCCCTTGGGGGCTGTAAAACCCTGGGCCTCCCCTCACCCCCAAACCCTGCCGAACGCCAGGGCTGCCCCGATCCTCCGGGCTCAGCTTTGCTCCTGTTCTGCAGCAAACTCCTTGCAAAATGGCTGGAGATGCTGCAAGACACCCAGCGATGACGGGGGATGGCTGTTGCAAGGGGCATGGCCTTCCCCTGCTAATCTGTGCACTGAGAGGCGGCTCTTCGGTAATTACTGCCTGCTTATTGACTCAGAGCGACACAGAAGCGTGCAAACAGACAGGAGCTGGCTTGGCTTTTGGCCACTCTGTATCCCAGATCCCCACCAGCAACGCTCGCTGCCTCAAGCTGACTGTTTTTAGCTGTGAGATCATTAACACCGCACGCACAGAGCTGGGAGGCTGAGCCACTGATGTCCCTCCGGATCATTAGCTCCTAAACCACTCCAAGAGACCTCTTCTTACACCTGGGAGAAGGTGGGATAAGATGGGTGCCTATGGGCTCTGCACACCGCTGGGCATCCATGAACGCCCTGCCCTATTTGCTGGCACAGCATGGGGTCACTTGGGTGTGCTTGGTGGCTTTTTTGCCCCAAAACAGCACTCCAAGAGGCAAGCTGACCTGTTTTACCCATGCAAAGTGACACAGGACACTGCTGCTCACTTTGTGCATCCCTCCTTCTGCTGGATTTTCTCCAGAGTGCCTTTTGGCTCCTGCTGCTGCCACCCTGGACACAGACAGACCTTTAGGGCAGCACCTTTCAACACAACCCAGATGCAACATCTGGGTGCCCAACACCTGTTTGGATCTTTTCCATTTCAGGCCCCCTCTCATACACAGCTCAGGACAGGGATGGTGTCTGCCTACAGCCGGCACCAGAGGTGCAACATGCAGTGATGCCAGATGTGGGCATCCTTAAATACCACACACAAACTGCACATGCTTCCTGAGGTCCCCATGTGCTGCCCTGGTTACAAAAGCACCTCCTGCTCCTCCCCCCCCCAGCCTCTCCTTTTCCTCTTTCCAGGGACAGATCTGACAGGAGAGCTGCCGCCCTCTTTCATTAAATGTTAATGCTTTTATTTATTCTCCAGTATTTATGGACCTCTCATCTCTTTCCCATTGCTATTCACATATCTCCCTCTCGTTACTGCCAGATGAGGATGGACAGCCGATTTGAAGCATCAGGATGCACACCTGGATGGCTTCCCAGACACCCTGCAGGGACAGAGTCCTTCTGGGACAGCCCATCCAGCACACAGAGATGCAGACCCACCCATGCACTCAATATCCTGCCTGGCACCCTGGGAAGGGGCACATTAAGGCTTTAACCAAAGTGCTGCTTGTTGACAGCCAGGATTACCACCTCTCATCAACCCCATTCTGATGAACCACGCTTCTCATCGGCATTGATTTTATCAACACTAGATTAAGCACATCTGACAGCTACAGGTTGGGCACCAGGATGGTTTTCGTCAAATTTCTCAGCCCAGAGAGCAGCACATCATGCCGTCACCTTGCACACTCTAAAAATGCTCTATCTGGGGGGAAGTTTCCCCTTTCCCTTCTCCTACCCATAAATGCTGCCCTCCCAGTGCTTTCCCAGGTAAAGCACACCTCACAAGGTGCAGGCTGGGCAATCACCACAACCCACATGCTTCAAACAAATCATCTCCACAG